TAGTGAAATAATGAAGAGCACATATGGAATTATGGGGAATGAAACTCATCTACTATCTTCGGCATCAACTATGCGTTCCTTTGTTGCGAGGCCCCATTTACTCGTTCTCTTTTGAAAAACATCGTACAGTCGTTTTTTAATTAGGTTCAATTGGGTCAAAAATGGGTTTCATTAAAACTGTTTAATTGGGTCAAGTCAAAACAAAGATGGGTTATTTGTGATTTCCCACTCAAATCGACCGTTATAGTAAAAAGATGACTACCCTAACTGGTAACAAATCCTCAGAACTGATTACACAATATGATAGGCAAATATGAGATTTTTAATGGATTTTTGATAAGACATATCGTTAGATGAAGACCGGGTAAAAGTTGAATTATTAAATTTCATTTCTCCTTAAACATAAGGGGCATAAATTTAGAGGATATTAAGTAGCTTAAATATCATTTAAAAACATGCAATTATGGGTATTTAATACGGAGTATTAATTTAAATATCATTACCAACACTTCATTTTTTTAACTCTCTCAAACGATATCTAGTAGAAGCGGCGGCCGGCCCTGAGGATTCCACATCTAGGCCGGCGTTTGGACTTTCGACCAAAGCTCGCTCGAGTATGGGAAGGGGAATGCTGCCTCGGTGTTGTCTCGTTCTCTGATTGAGGCGAAGGTTCGTTGTTTTCTTTGAATTTCAGTTCGTTGCCATGACGGTTGGTGTAGTCCGGCAGTCACTGGTGTTTGCCGAGGTTTTGTATTACGTTCCTTGTGGATGGTTTGGTTTCTGTTTGACTGTTTACACGAGAAGGTTTATTCTTCTTGGCTTGATTCCATTAGCTATGGTGTATGCTCTGTCTACATTACACTGATATGTGGCTAGTTTGTGTTGAGGATTTTACTTTATGCTTTTGGTATTCTTAGTTGCCTAGTGGGATATTTAGTGGAGGCAGCAAATTTGTTGTTGGTTTCGTTCCTTTCAGAGGTGAAGGGGTACAGTGATGCATGTGGGAGATATAGGAGGGAGAGGATATGGGGCTGGCCTTTTACAGTGATATTGTTGGAGAAGAAGATGGGGTGAAGGTCGTGCCACGTTTCTTAGCGACCGCAAGTGTGGTGACGGACAAACCTATCTGTTCCTTTGCGTTTCAGGCAACCATGGAGATGGTCTGGAGACCTGCCAAAGGAGTTTTAATTGATGAAGTTGGCGACTCAAAATTTCTACTATAGTTCTACAATGAAGGTGATATCAATCGGGTACTTCAGGACGGACCTTGGACGTTCAAACAAAATTTGGTGGCAATACGCCGTCTAGAGCAGGCGGATAGACCACTTGAGGTGGCATTGGACAATGTTGATTTTTGGGTCCAGATCCATAACTTACCTTTAGGCTTTATGACATAGAAAGTTGCATGTGGCATTGGGAACACAATTGGTTCGTTCATTGCAGTTGATGAGCGTACGTTGGGAGGTTTTTGGAGACCCATCTTCCGGACTCGGGTGACCATGAATGTCAAGAAAGCACTAGTTCACAAATTACAGATAAGGAAGGAAGGGGATAATTGGTTCTGGGCAGAGTTCAAGTATGAGCGTCTTTCAAAATTCTGTTTCATTTGTGGAATCTTGGGACATGTTGATCATTTTTGACCATCTAATACTCACTCTATATCTTAGACCAGAGAGAAGTCATATGGGGCTTGGATGCGTGTTGGTATGAGGAAAGGAGGAGTTCATCTGGGTAATAAGCGACTGATCCCAAACGGAAGTGAACTAACTCACGTGAAGAAGGGATTGAGAATGTTCTAAAAAAGAGCAGTGCGAGCTTTGAGGAGACACACAATCTTATAGTGGAAGGATTGCTCTTTAGGCGTGAAGGCATATCTGATTCCCTAGTGGAAGAGTCTTGTAAGTGCAAAGTGATAAAGCCGAAAATCACTGAGGATATACAGGCCAACATGGAGGTGTATGAGGAAGATCCAAAAAAACGGACAGGTGGCGGTGCCAGGGGACACCACCGCCTGCCATATTTAGGGAAACCCCTGAAGATGAGAAGAGTTTTATGGTTGAGCAAGAGGAAAAACTTGCTAGTAGTGAAGAAGTGGTTGCTGTCTTACTTGCTGACTTTATCAAGCCAGTGATGAGGGGCCTCTGTGATGATCAAGATGGACCTTTGGCGGGGGCTGGACAAAGTGCACTTTCCTTGCTAGTGACTGGAAAAACTGGATCTCATTATTCTTATTCTTGCTCTTTTTCTCAAAACTCTTTAGTTACTTTTATCATTCATTCTAGTAGCAGGTGCAACATTGCTATTAGTGGAGTCTACCAACTTCTGGGGTTAACGAGTTGGGTCACATTTCAGCGATCTTCCAGCTTTGTGTCTCATCCCAGTGTAGCCTTTAATGTGGCGGCTTTGTATCCGGTTATCGATTTTAATATGAATTAATTTATCTTTTGCCAAAAAAATAAAACTCTCTGAAACGATATAAGATTATGTTTAACACTTATACTTACATTCGTTTCGGAGGCCCGACAACACTTATTCATACTTTCATTAGAACATCTTCAATGCTAAAACGTTAACGATGCATACGTGTCATGAGAAATAACCAATTAAAAAACAATAAGGGTATGTTTGGCAAATGGCTGTTAGCTGTTGTTGTTAGCTGGTTGTGTCAGCTGTTTCCTAACAGCTGGTTGTGTTAGCTGTTTTGACCGGCTGATTATGTTAGCTGATTATAGATAACTGTTTGGTAAAATTGGTTGTTTCGAAATGGCTGATAGAGTGTAAATTGAACCAGCCGAATGAATAAGCTGCCCCCCTTAGCTTCTTCAACAATCCATTTTTTCAGCTTTTCAAACTCAACAAGCTAATTTTAAAAGCTATTTACCAAACATCATTATTAGCTTCTTTGACCAATCAAACAGCTGAAATGGGTCAAACAAGCTAAAAGCCGGCTGATAAGCCATTTGCCAAACATACCCATTGCAGACAAAAACTTACCAAAAATACATAAGACCGTGTAAAGAATGAGAGAGAAATATCATAAAATCAATATTTTGTGTCTATATCTCTATGTCACATGTGTACCGTGCACTTTGTAACTTGAACATTGAAGATGTCTTGAGTGAACCCGGGTCCATATACGGGTCCATTTTCCTGATAAATAAGACCAAATGGAGTGGTGAGGTATTACGAGTCTAAAATGTTAAAATGGCATTTTTAGACTCCTAATTTCTTACATTGGTTGAGTGTGGAGGGATATTAAAAATAGGTTTGGGGAGGGAAGGGGTTAAGTTTGGAGGAATTTTAGACAGCCAAAAATTAAATGGAAAAGAAAAGAAAAAGGGGAGTGGGGGCATACCTGTTGTGCGCAGACGGTAGCAGAAGGCTTGCCAGGGGGAATTATTTGCCTCGCTGACATCATGTTGATGTCAGCATGAGGCACCATGCACTACCAACGGCTCAATTGTTTGTATAAAAAAAATATTTGGTAGATCCAACGGTTGTGATGAACTTGACACTGTTTGAAAATGGGAAAAGTAATGTGATTCCAATGTCAAGTGAGGCCATGTATTTATAGTAATATAGTTCTTTGATGTTCACACCAAGTGGATGATACATCCAAATTAATATGTTTGGACCAAGTGGAGAATAGCATCCAATGTGGTATGGAAGATTACACATGGTGGAAAAGAGAATCCAATGTCATATAATGTGCTATGAAAGGATTGCCTCGCTGACATCATGTTGATGTCAGCATGAGGCACCATGCACTACCAACGGCTCAATTGTTTGTATAAAAAAAATATTTGGTAGATCCAACGGTTGTGATGAACTTGACACTGTTTGAAAATGGGAGAAGTAAAGATGAGGTGTGTGATTCCAATGTCAAGTGAGGCCATGTATTTATAGTAATATAGTTCTTTGATGTTCACACCAAGTGGAGGATACATCCAAATTAATATGTTTGGACCAAGTGGAGAATAGCATCCAATGTGGTATGGAAGATTACACATGGTGGAAAAGAGAATCCAATGTCATATAATGTGCTATGAAAGGACACAAATAATGGAAAAAAGAATCCAATGTGATTTGAAAAGATACAACAAGTTGAGAAGGGAATCCAATGTGTTATGGATAGACACAAAGTTGAGAAGAGAATCCAATGCTCTAATGTGTTGAAAATCACTCAGGAAAAAACGTAAAAAAAAATAATGAAATTTATTTTTTTTTACATCGAAATGTGTCTTTTTTATTTTATAATTAATCAGAGAAAAAATTTAAAGGAAAACATTAATTATAGTAATTTAATTAATAATTTACTAAATTGATATGTAAAAAAATGTGCAGAGTGTATTTTTTGACGGTGCTGGAATGCAGAGAATATAAGTCAAAACACTGTTTTCATATCGACGGAGTCCATTTTTGACATTTAGACTCTTGCACCACTCCAAATGGTCTAAGGACATCGTCGTGTGCCCGTCTCTCTTCCACAAAATCTCACGACTAATGGCATGTTTGGATTGAGTGTTGAGGAGTGTTAGTAATGGAAGTGTTAGTAAGTGTTGATGTTAACACTTGTTTGGGAGAAAAATCTAGAGGTGTTAAGAAGTATTAGTAATGGTTGGGAAGTGTTAATAATAACCTTCCCAACACCTCAAATGTCCATTTTTTTAACACCCCGATTTGGAGTGTTTTGAGGTGTTAGACAATTATTACCCTTCTCATTTACCCGAAAAACATAAAATGCTTCGACATTTCACTTCGAATGTCTTTCCCACGGGTCTGATGGTTTGTTTTTTCATCTCTTCTCTTTACTCGTTTCTTTTGCCTCAAGGTAAAATTATTAACACTTCCATTATTAACACTTCATTCATTTGACTCTCCCAAACAAGATAAAATTATGTCTAACACTTACACTTCTCTTCCCTTCCGAGCCCTTACTAACACTTACTAACACTTCCATTACTAACACTTCCAAACACTCCATCCAAACAGACCCTAAGGTAAAATCTCTACATACCTGACAATCTCCCGTCTCATCTACCTACTTCGTAAGTAAACTTATCCCCTATTCCCTCCCAGAAGCAGCGACAATGGTGGATACGCTTAAGAATCTAAAGATCAAGACGTCGTCTTGCAAACGCATAGCAAAGGAACTGGCCTCGTATCAGAAGGAGGTCGAGAGGGAATACTCTAAGACCACTGAAATGAAGGCTAATAATGCCGATCAATATGACCTCAAACAGCAGGTTTTTATCTGTTAAAGACCATTTAGTTCCTGAGTTCCTTTTTGCAGATTATTTGTCCATTAACTCTTACCGCTTTAGTGCAAGTATTAGAGAATTACAAAGCGAAAAAGATAATATTTTTGGCAGCATAACGATATAATTTATTTATATGATTATATCTTAGGTCGAAATTAACCCTTTTAGAAAGTGAAATTAGAGGTAGAAATGTATCTTTCATTTTAAGTAAAGGGTCAAGGGATGTGTTTTATGGGGTAATTGCTACTTCAATGTTTGCTAACGCAAAACACTATTACTCTTTACTGTCCCAAAATTCTCTTTCTAATCTGGCTTAGAACATCTATTAAGAAAGTAAATTGCATTTTGTGTTTGATGTTAAATACTTAAAGGAGAGTAACTTATGGGATATTCTTAAAAATAAAGTGAGAAGAAACCTATGAGACAGGAGTATTACTTTAAGAACTCCGTATAATATACGGAGTACTAAGTACTATACTATTATCGTCCATTGCCTGTGTCACTCTGTCAGTGTTTTGTAGTAGTGGAAATCACAGGTTTTATAATGGACTATGGGGGATTTTGGAGTGGAAAGCTATGAAGGGCTTAGTATTTCAAAAAACAAACAAAAGGTGATTTAAGTATTACTACGTATAAGAATATACACTGTGAATCTTTTAATTTATATAAAACCAAAAATACATATCAAGATATAGTAGAATAATCCTCTAAACCCCTGCCCCCTATCCCCTCTAAATCCACCTTCTATCCAACAAGGCGCCTCTATTTTTATGCCCCTAATGGGTAAAAGCTGGGTAATGTCAAATATTGCTGATGGGGTGCTGTTTGCTTTCCATACCATGCACCTATAGGTTTTATAGGAACATAACTAGATTTCCGTGAATGCACTATAATCTAGATTCTAGATATCCATTTTAGGGCCTTCTTCTAAATTCTAGATATATCTACAATTGATTCACGTTTTTTCTATCTTAAATGCTGACTGAAATTTCACTTCAAGCTTTATATGTTTGTGCTTGTTGACCATGCGTGATGGGAAAATATGTTTTGAACTCCAAAGAGTTGTCAAATGAATTTACTGTTATTTTGACCCGCCCCTTCCTTATATGCATTATTATTATGCAGGAAAATGTTCTGGCTGAATCCAGAATGATGATACCTGATTCCTACAAGCGTCTAGAGCATGCACTGAGTGAGCTTAGAGGAGCCCTGGTACTCATACCATGCAGTGAAATTGGCCATTCTTTACATTGAACCATTTTTCTATTTAACTTTACTAGATGTAGCCTAACTATCTTCTCATATTGCTTTCTAGTTAATTTAGCTTATAAGCTTCATTAACTTCAATTACACGTCAAATTAAATCTCAGTACTGTCATAGAGCATAACTGGGTAACTGGGATCACATGACTCTTATTGTTTGGGTTAAAATAATTTTTGGAGCCTTATATCCACATCACCTGGCAACCTGCTAATGGAAGGGATTTTGAGTTTCTTCTAATTCATTATTTTCTTTTACTTCCAGTTGTAGAAAATGAGATTTCATGAATACTTGTGGTTGTCTGGTTGATGCAATAGATATTGTATGAGGATAGAATGAAATGTCTTAATTGTGTCACTCTTTGTTCTTCATAGAGTTCTTTTGCTTTTTTTTTTTACATTTGTAGCCAGATTATAAAAATCTCTGCCTAGGCATCCTTTGAGCGGTGTCTGCAAAAATTTTAAAATGTGCTTTATCAGTTTTCTCTTGAAAATGCTTATAATAGTTGCTTTGGCATACAATAGTGTTTTACCCCCACTTATCAGTTTAAAGCACTTTAAACTGTTTTTCACTTTTCCATTGCATAAGAAGTATTTTCATCATATCCGTCTAACTTTTACTTTTCACTTTTCAAAATCTTTTTGTCATTTGGTCTGGTCGCATTACTGGTTTCATCCTAAAGTGGAGGTTGCAAATTTGACTCTCATCTCAATTAAGCAGAATGACATTATCATTGAACATATACTTTCATAGTATAGAAGTTTAGAAGTGTTGCCCAAAAAAATCAAAAATATTCACATTACCAACTTTTACAATTATACACTTTTAAAATAAATCACGTCTCAAAAGTATAAGCAAACATGAACTACTTAAGTTTCCTACATTTTCTTGGATTTCCTGCCTAATGGCATCTATACCTGCCTGAGCCTACCTAGGCATGCTTAAGAATTAAACCCACGCACATAGTGGGACAGCACTTTGTAAAAAACTGCTTTAGAGGTGTCTACATAATTTGCTAAGTCGAACTTTCTTTTCAATCTTACTGAATATGAATAGTCTGCTATCATATCACATGCGTGTATTATATTGCTTCACCTGTAACCTCTCTCAGCTGACATTTGAAACAAAAGATAAATATAATATGTATATGTTTTAATTATACTACTGTCTGTATTTTGATGGCTGCTAACAGCAGTGTATCCCATAGTGTATCCCATAGGGGGGGAGGGGGCATGGTGGCACATGGCTTCATCCTTGAATTGAAAAAGATAATCTTTTTTAAAAGAAATAATAGTATACCAGAAAAATTTTATGGTCACTCCTTATATGTGCCCCCGCTCCCCAGTCACTCCTTTTTTTGGTCATTTATCTGCAAACAAGGAATTTGTTTTCTCAGGACGAGCTTGATGAAGACTTGACAAAAGAAGGTCCTGAGGTTAAAGATGCTCAACAGGTCATCACCGAGGTAGAGCAGATGCTACTAAAGAATGAATGCAAACAAGATGACCCCGAGGTAGACGAAGCCAACAAGTCAAAGGTTGAAAAGCTGCTTCAGAGTGAAAAAGTGTAGTGCAGATGAAGTCAAAGTCCAACCGTGCTGGTTTTTCTGGATTTCATGTTTTTAGCTTCTATTTGTTACCAAATGTTCTTGACATCGTAACTAAATGCTCATCCATTATGCTGAATTTAGGTTCATTTCATGCTAGCTGTTTATTGTGTCCACACCCATTATTATAACCATAATATCATTATATCATACACTGTCACATGTGAGTCAAAGAGAGTGATTTCACAGTGTAGAGCTCGTGTGGACAATTTGACACTGTCTACACATGTTGCATTGGACAATTTCACTTAAAAAGTGATCTTTAAAGTGATTTTGGATAAATTGATTAGTATGGAAAAATTAAAGTTTAATTTGGAGTGTTTTAAAACGCGATTCTTGATGACTTGATGTATTGTTTTGTTAAAGTACAAAAATTCCTTGTATAAAATATACAATAATGCTTCATGTACATTGTACATGTACATTGTACATGACATTTTACACGCCAGTCAAAATATTTATATACAGAAAATTTGACCTGCGTTTTGTAAAAAACCCGGTTTTCGTACAGGCAAAAAATGTTCGTGCCACAGACAAAAAAAATTGTCTATGCCGAAATCGGTTCTGTTCACGAAACATTGGTCAAATTATTTGTACACAAACAATCTAATCAATGTGTAAAATGATGTGTACACTTTGCCATATACAAATAGCATTTTCATAAAATATACATACTCCTCTCTCTCTCTCATTATACAAGTTTCTTCCTTTGTCATTCCTTTCTTCGTGTCCTTATTCTCCTCTTCATAAGTAGTTCAATTTTCATCACATCTTTATTGCAATGGTGTCAAATGGACTAACACATTATTGCTACAAATTGAAGAGTATATATACATACAAGCGTTTCAAGTCTTCGATTAGTCTAGTTCCAGGTCTTCAATATATGTGTTTGTTTATACATAATTTCATTTATTATCAAAATGTTATCGCGTTTTTAATCAAATTTCATGCATTGTTACACTTCCATCATATTTCAAATTTAACACACGAAAGTCATTCACATTTTTCACATTAAGACTTTTTTTTATCATATAGAGAGAAATTTCGGATCAAATAAAAACCATATCCCGTGAAAATTGAAAAGTGTTGCACTTTTGTGATGCACTATTAAGTTTTGTGCTGCATCTTTTATCTTTAATGAAAAAATTTAACTTATTTATCAAAATGCCATCATATTTTTTCTTTCTTACTTTATTGGAAAAACTCGAACAAAGTTCAAAAAGTACATGAGAAAAGGTTTAACGTGCATAGTAAATTGTGACAATTTGTAGTTTACACAATAAAGATGGTTTTAATGAGAAAACATCTTGTGTTTATATTCAAAAGTGGAGACAAGTTCAGCAAAGAGCTATCCACTGAAGGAACTAAAGAGTTCCCATTGCCCGTAATATTTAATATCTCAATTGTTTCTCCTTTCATTAATTATATATCTCTTCTTTCGCACCCACACTTGTTATTTTAATAAATAAGATTAGTGTTTTTCGACGCACCGATTACACTGTTGTTGTGTGACGAAGAGGTCACATGTTTAAATTTCGAGAGTAATCTCTTGTCAAAAAGGACAAGAGAACATTTGGTTTTTCAATCTCTTTTGATGAGACTTTTTTCCAAACTCTCATCTTGTGATGACGCTAATGCGCGTCAGGTAAGTGTTCACCCGGGTTGACCTATCGATGGATGATTTTCACTCCAGGTAGAAAAGAAAGTATTCAAAGAGGAGAATATGAGATTGATGGGGATTGTGTAATTAAAAAAGAAATGACTTAACAACGTTTATTACAATGAAATTGTCGAAAATTTGAATTATATACCAGAAGACTCAAATGTAGTTAGAAACATCCATATATTACTTTCTACTTTATTAAAATTTAAAATATTCTACTCCGTATTATTTTTACAGAAGCACACAATGAAACACTAATATCAGCTATTTCAAGTTAAAAAATTTGAAAAACGTTTCTTTAATTTCTTCCAAACGCTCCCCTAATCGCATGAAAAAGGGCGATGTTGAGTTGTTGATGACGGTTGTGAGATAAGGATAAAATTGTCTTCCACACCAAAATTTGGGTGCGGCAAGTGCCGGGTTCGCAGAGGGGCGCCGTATAAAAATCGACATGCGCACGTTAGCACTCACCGCGTCCACGGCTCAGGTTAGCGTCCCCACCTATAGCGGTGGGCGGTGGTCTCATCTTTCTAGCTCTCCACATCAGCCGCAATCCACCACGCCGACCCGCTACCCCCATCACTTTATACCTAACCCTATCACCCCTCCTTCATTATGTCACCGTTCTCCGCCGCCCCCTCATCCCCTCCGCCCTTCACATCTTCCATCTCCTCTCTTAACCGACTCACGCAACCGCCGCCATGGCCGCATCGCCTACCCCGTCCAGCGAGGATCTGCCCTCAGCGCTACCCGAGAACCAATTCTCGAACGTCACGATCGCATCCCACGGCGGCGGCGCCTCCTCTCGCCGCCTCCCTCCGCCGTGCTGGTCCCACGACGAGACCGCCGCTCTGATCGACGTTTACAGAGACAAGTGGTATTCCGTCCGCCGCGGGAATCTCCGGGCTAACCACTGGCAGGAAGTCGCGGACGATATCGCCACGAGATGTCCCGTCGATCTCCCTAAGACCTCGATGCAGTGCCGCCACAAGATGGAGAAGCTACGGAAACGTTATCGCGCTGAGATCCAACGCGCCGCTTCCTACGGCGGAGGCCCGTCGCGCCGTTACTGCTCCACCTGGATCCACTTCAAACGCATGGATGAGATGGAAAGGGGCCCCGATGCTGCCTCGCCGGCCCCGGAAGAGGAAGACATGGAGGATGATCAGGTAGATTTCAATCAAAATAGCTTCAGACACGCAGGCCATACCTACAACCAGAACAATCGGAGATATAACGAGCGGAGTAGCTTTCATGGTTCCATGAACAATAATGGGGGTCCTGGATTTCGGATACGAATTAACAGTGCTACACCTATAGCCACTGCTCTTCCCATGGCTAACCCTTACGGCAAAATTGATGGATCGAGTAGGTCATATAGAGGGGATAAGGTAATGAAGAAAGAAAAAATAGTGGTCGGAGAAGAGACTGTCAGGAAGAGAAAGGGAAATCCTTTATTGGAGGCGGCAAGAGCAATCAAGATGATGGGAGAAGGGTTTGTGAGGATGGAGAGTATGAAAATGGATGTAGCGAGGGAATTGGAACAGAAGAAGATGGAAATGGAGATGAAGAAGACCGAGTTGATTCTTGAATCCCAACAGAAGATGGTGGAAGCTTTTGCCAAGGCCTTCTCGGACTCGAAGGCCAATCGAATGCCGACCCCAGAATGGTAAGGGCTGTTGTAATTTATTTTGGCTGTCAACTTTTCCTTTTCTGGAACATTGGCATTAATTGATTGCTTGCATACAAAATGAGCAGCATTCAAGTGCTCTCAAATCTTGCCTTTCTTTTCCCAGTGGTGGAGGAACATCAGAACTTCAATGCGCTCTATCTTTTTATGAAGTGATATATATTTTCTCTTGCAATTGTCACATATGTGCAAATAAATATCCATACCATATGTGTCCCATTCAATTTATTTTCGAGCAAAACTTTGTATTTAGGAGCTGCTTATTGGGCTTAAGTTAGATTTGTCTTAGAGGAGCTAGGTTTCCTATAGTGCCTATAGAGCTCACACATAACCACTTGAGCTACTCAGCTACCATAATCCTCAAATGGCACAAACATAATGAATGGATCATGCCTCTCTGCCTTGCAAGGTAGGGTGTCTGGCCTTTATCAATCGTCCTATAAAAAATAAACAGTCCATGATGTCTATTTTTTCACCGATCTCGAGTCGTCTTCCTTTCTATCTTGTCATCCATTCCCCGCAAGGCAATCTGCCATGTGCAGGATGATCCTAATTCCAAATATAATTTGCGAAAAATTTATAATTTAGTTATGTACCTTTCATCTTGTAGCTAAAAGTTTGTTTGTTATTAAGGAATTTTCCCATGAGCGTTTTTGTTTAGGAATAGTACATTTCGATGAAAAAGTTTATATGCTAGAGGACATAATCAGCAAATGTTTAAAGTTTCAAGACTAATAATTGACATAAATGTTAGTTATGGGACTACAAAAGGTCGCCCGGTGCACATTGACATCCCGCCTCCGCACGGCGAGTTCTAAAAATAGCAGCCTGCTTATATCACTTGTACATTTGCTCACATAGAATAATTACCACATTAACTTTGCTATTGATGTAATTCACTTATTTCAGTATTGAATGGTTCTTTTTACTCCCACTTCTTTAAGCAGTCAGGCTTCAAGAAAGTCTAAAGCTGAGTGGATGGTGTTAATGTAGTTGTACCACTTCAAAATCTCAGTACAATATAGGCACAGTAATTCCAAGACAGAACTCCACCGCCGTAGAACGAAAGGGTGCCCCACCCCAATGCCATTTTACTGTTTATTCATGTCATATTTTAAACTCCAATATGTTTTTCAAAGCGGCTTGGTATAAGCTATACACACCACTACACGCTCCGTTTTGTTTTGTGGCACAGACAAAACGGGCCTTTAAATGGCATGTATACGACCTTTTGATATTTTGTTTTTTGATGGAATACGACCTTTTGATATGAAAATTGAGTTTTTAGGTTTATATGTTTATTATTTGATAGCAATACTAAATGTTGCAACACAGAAGTTTCATTACATCCTACTAAATGTAGCAATATTTGTAACTGAAGTTTGGTACAAAAGTTTGTGATGGAATCAGGCAACCCCGTCACCTAATTGCTGTTTGTAACAGATTGGCCTGTTACGAAAGATGTAAAAATTGACTTTTTTGTAGTGGCGGATAGTGCCTTGTGAGATTGAGATACGTCTCGTTGACTTCCTTTCTAGAATCAGAACTTCATAGATACACCTGATTTAGATGGACAGCAATCATCGAGTGCTTGTGCCTCATGCATTGCATGTTGCACATTCTTGATATCTATGTCTGTGTATAATTTAGATTCAATGTACGACATATATCTTGCCAAGGCAGGAAGCCAGGGACGTATTGACCTGTTGTGGTGATTCTCGTGGGAATTGTGCTGACTATTAAGTTGAGGTTTAGGAATTGGGAGGATCATTCCAACTACTCGCGATTTATCTCTACCTAGTGTCTAGGCACTAAGGGTGAGTTCTTGGAGATGGGAGGATGTTTTTAATTGGACTGAGATTTACTGGTCTGATCTAGTTTGTTCTTTTTAAGTCTAGTTTGGACTGATTTGGTTTGGTCTCGTAAATGTCTGGTCTTTGTGAATTTCATAATGTTCAAAATCTGGTTTA